GGACACTAACAGCAGGTGCCTCTGGCAGGGCACGACATCCCAAACCCACCAGGCCCTGGCCTCAGCCCCCCACTCATGCCACCTCACAGCGGGTCCCATCATCACCTCATTTGGCAGGTGGGAAAACTGAGGCTCGGAGTCCATGAACTCAAAGTCAGGGAAGCTTACTGACTTCAGAGTCCTTTGTCCTGGGCACCACCTCCGATTGCCCCCATCTCTCAAAACAGCAAACTCGAACAGACATCTGAAGGGGCCTGGCTGGGCGGGCAGGTCCAACTCACCATGCCGCATGTGGGTCGTGGGCTGGAACACGGGCGCCAGGGGCATCTGCCGCAAGAGACTGGGCCTGGACACCTTCAGCTCCCCGATGCCTGAGGAGCGAGGGAGGGGGGAGGGCCTGCTGCGTGGGACTGCGTGTGCACGGGACCTTCAGAGGCAGTCTCCACCTGTCCCCTACCCGCGAGCCCGCCCGTCCAGCCACTGCCTGCCCACTTACCCCGGTAGTCCTTTTGCTGTAGCCAGCAGCGAGCCAGCTGCAAGGCCAAGGCGGCATTGGACCGCTGGTGCTCTCCCTCCAGGCCCAGGGTCAGCGGCGGCCCCCCTTCCTCCAGGGCTTCCAGTGGTGGGCACAGGTAGAGAGGACACTGCCAAGGAGATGGCCGACCGCTGGTCAGGGGGTGCTGCTGCAGCTGCCTCGGCCAGGAGCTCCCCTCCTTGACGGTGTCGGCCCATCTTTCCCCATCCACCAGAACCCACCAAGCCCTGTTCCTTGGAAAACCAAGATGTGCTCCAGCTGGACGAGCAGCTGCCCCTCACTGCACAGATGGGCAAACTGAGGCCCAAAAGGATAACGTGCCTCCCCAGTCAGCTGCCAGCCCTGCCCCAGTGCCTCCGGACTCACTGAGATCTGCTGGGCCCGGTCCCTCAGCACTGCCAGGGGACCGTCAGGCTGGAGCACGGTGAAGGCGGGGACGCCACGCTGCGGAGGAGAGGGAGTGGGTGAGACGAGCTGCTGAGGGGCCTCTATCCCCGGGCAGCTCACTCAGCCTCTGTCTGTAGAGCCAATGGGAACCCCTCGAGGGGACACTAAGGCCAGAGGCAGGGCTCTTGCTACAGTCACACACAAAGCCCCACTGACGCCCAAGACCTTATCCTGAGTCAGGACACAGATTACCCTGCCCCAGCCCCGCTTTCCTGAGCCTGGAGGGCCAGGCCCAGATCGTCCATGTGCCTCCCCTCCCCAGGGCTGCCTGGTCACCTTGAAGATGCCCCCTTTCTGCCACGCGATCTCCTCCACTGTGTCCCCCAGAATGCTGGTGTGGTCGATGCCAAGAGAGGAAATGCCACACACCACAGGCTTCCTGCAGAAGACGGGGGGGCCGTGACCGTGTCGCCCCGGCCCTGGGCTCACGGCCACCGTCCTTCTCCCCAAGCAGCTGCCCTCACCTGATGATGTTGGTGCAGTCGTAAGCACCACCAATGCCCACCTCCACCACTGCCAGGTCCACCTACAAAGGACCAGACGGCATGTCAGGGACCCGGGGCACCCGGCCTGCTGGGATTCCCCTCAGACACAGGACTCTGGGGGGTGGGCACGTACCTTCTCTTGGAGGAAGACATGGAAGGCCATGAGCGTGAGGAAGCGGAAGTAGGCGGGCATGGAGACATAGCTGCTGCTGTCCTGTGGACGAGAACACGTCGGCCTGGGGCCCTGCCACCTCTGCTCTGGGGAGATGGGGTCCGGGACACACAGCACCCTCCGGGGCTCCCCAGCACCCCTGCCCTGCCCACCCACCAGCCCTCCTGCATGGGCACCTTGGTCTCCTCCAGCCGGTGGTAGAGGGGCCAGAAGTGCTTGGTGAAGAGCTCAGGGCTTATGGGCTGCCCGTTGATGCGGATCCGCTCCCGCACCTGCACCAGGTGGGGAGAGCTGCCGGGACACCTGTAGTCATCAGGACTCCCTTCCCGAGCCCCTCAGACCCGTCCGTCTTCAGAGACCCAACTCTGACCATGTCATTGCCCTGCCGATAGCCCTTCTAGGATTTCCCTCTGCCCTGCAGAGTCCCAGGCTCCTCACCCAGCCTCCCAGGCCCTGGTGGGGCTGATGCCACTGGCCTGTGTGTCACCTCTCCCACATCCCAACAGTTCCCTGTGCCCCAGCCCCTCTGGCCTATTTTGAGTTCCTCCAGCCCAGCCCACCCACCCTCCCCACCACCGGCTCACTCCACAGGCCTTGACTGAGATGGTGCCTCCTCCAGAAAAGGAGAAAGGACCCCTCCACCAGGCTGATCAGGGATGTGCTCCAGGCTCCAACAGCTCCCTGTGCTCTACCCACCACACACCCATCAGTCACTCTGCTGACATCTGCCCCCGCAATGTCGTCTTCCAGCCCTCAAGGGCAAGGCCCATCTGGGTGGTCAGGCTGCATCCCCAGGCCAGCCCACGAGGCTACGGGGGCCAAAGTCAAAGGCCGGGGTTTGTAGCCCAAAAATTGTTTTAGAAGAGAGACTGTCAGCTCATATTTGAATTCTGCAAGCCTCTCTCACATTCTGAGTCCTTCTCTGTATTTCTTTATTCTGAACAAAGAACTGTGAAAAGAAGCCGCTTACAGAAAGTCACTTGATGGAACCGGTAAAATAAAAGGAAGCAAAAATCTTAAATGCCCCCAACCCAAGGAGCAAATTCTGAGCAACTGCGCATCACATTAACCTGCTTTTCAGGTGACCAGCTAAGGAGGGGCAGGTGCAGCCCAGGGAGGAGGGACCCATATCTAGGCCACACCCCATCCTCAGGTGTGAGTTTGGGTGCCTGAGTGCAGCCATGAGGAGGTGCTACGTCAAAGGCAAATAGCAGCTGAGGCAGGCCGGGCAGAAGGGAATCCTTGCCTCGGACTTCACAAACCATCTCATCGTTTATACCCTTCCAAGCTAGGTTTTCTGCTCCTTACTGCAAAGACGTCTGAATTGATAAAGATTTCTCTGTGATTTAAAAGCTGTACACGGAGGGGCACCTGGGTGGCTCAGTCGGTTAAGCGTCCGACTTCGGCTCAGGTCATGATCTCATGGTTCATGAGCTCGAGCCCCGCGTGGGGCTCTGTGCTGACAGCTCAGAGCCTGGAGCCTGCTTCAGATTCTGTGCCTCCCTGGCTCTCTCTGCCCCTCCCCACGTCATGCTCTGTCTCTCAAAAATAAATATTGAAAAAAAATATTTTAATAAATAAAATAAAAACTGTACATGAAATTTAAGTTAATAAAAAGATGCCTGATGAAGCTACATATTTAGCTTACATATTCAAGTCCCTGCCCCTCCCCCAAATTTGTTTCACAATGAAAATTAAAGACTGCCACAAACTTGGACAATATGTTAAACTGAGGTCACTAATGCTAATGGGATGCTTACTGAACAAATCCACACTGGGCAGAGAGACAGGAAGCTGAGCTCCTGCTAGCTGGTTCCATAGCCGCCCCCCCCACCCCCCCACCGCCGAGAGCTAAGGGATCCCAAATTTCGCCACACCTCAGTACCTAAAGAATCCTGTCTTCAGGCCATAGCTTCGGAGAATACGTTCAGTAAAGGCACAAGTGGAACCCTAGAAAGAAAAGGTCTTGTTTGGGCAGGCTGGACTCTACCACCCCATCAAGTAGATAGCCGACCCCTGAGTCCCATCCCTCACCTTCCCCTTGGTCCCAGTGACGTGAATGATGTTCAGCTGGTCCAAGTCTTCCACCTGAGACATACAGACAACCATCTCAGCCACAAGACTCCTAGAAAGGGGATGGGGGTGGGGTAGGGGGCCGTCACAGGCCCTGCGCATCCTTACCTGCAGCCCACTCCGTGCCAAGTACAGCTTCATGGCTTCCAGCTGTGCCTGAGGGTCACCCCGCTGGCGCTTCACCTGCTCCAGATAGCCAGCATTGGTCTGCAGGGTGTTCAGTGCGCGCACAGCATCCTGGCAACCACAGTCCCCAGGCAGCAGGTTAAGACTCACCAGGGGTCCACAGAAACAGAGGAACCCCAGGGCATCAATGGCCAAGCCAGGGCACTAAGCCTACCAATAAGTGCCAGCCCTGTTGCCCCAGCCTAGAGGTTAGGCACGTGTGAGGGAGAAGTGGCATCTTTCCAGCTCTGGCAGCGATGGGAGCCTGAAGCTGATCGGCCCCACCCAGGAATGTCAGGCAAGGCAGGTTCCTTGGAACGGGAGAAGCCTTGCTTCCCGTTCCCAATTCGGGCTTCCGGATCCTCACTCCTTGCACGGGAGCCTTTGCGCTCATTCCAATGAGGGCCACTGCTATACTGGTCCCTAAACTGGAGGGGGGGGGGGCGGGTGAGGGGAGTCAGGAGCAGAACCACAGAAGGCTGGGGTCTTAGAACTGGAGGAATTAGAACCAGGAATCCCTGGAGGCTTCCATGCCCAATCCTGAGGATTGGGGTTCCACATTCTGACCCAAAGAAGAGCTGCTTGAAGCAACCAGGTGGGGAAGAGAAGGAGCCTTAAGGAAGACAGGGTATGCGGGGGAGTCACCAGTCAGAAAGGTGGGTAGGTACAGCCTCAGGAGAGTCTACACTGGGGGTTAGAGTGGAGATGCTATTTATTTCCCCTTAGGGCTTCAATAACCGGTTGCAGGCTCCACACCCATTAAACTACCACCTGCCTGGCAGGCATCAGGTGTGATCTGTGGAAATCAACCCCTGCAACAGAGCCAGGTGGAAACTTTCCGCTTTCCAGATTCTTGCCTCCACCAATGCCACTGATTCCTGCCTGCCAGAGCTCCAATTCTAGGCACTTGGATCTTCATGCCCTGATTCCTGGAGACTCCAACCCCAGATCTAAACTCCTGGGTCACTTGGGACGCCTGACTGGCTCAGTCTAGAGAGCATGTGACTCTTCACCTCGGGGTCATGAGTTCGAGCCTCCCGTTAGGTGTAGAGTTTATTTAAATAAACAATTCAAAATAAATAAATAAACTCCTAGATCTCTCAAGTCTGAACTCCTAGAACCCTTTCTCCTCCCACCGCCCACCTGCTAGTTGGGACTCCGGAGACAATGGACCTCTTTCCCCTAGCAGTGGGAGCCCTTTCCCATTCTCTAAGGCGGGGACACTTCAGCCTCAGAATTCCCAGAACCCGCGGACCAGGCCCAACTTCCTGGTCCATGTCCCCACCCCCGGGCTCCAGACTGTCCCCGCCCCCGAGTCCCTCACAGCCCGGCTCCCGGTCAGTGACTCAGGCCCGACCCACGTGTCGTCGTACGACCCCCCCCCACCCCCTCCCCCGCCGGCCCGCCCGATACCTGATACCTGATACTCCATGCCGGGCTCCTGCGGCGCGGGCCACGCGCTCAACCCTCGCCGAGCCGCTACCCCGGTAGTTGCAACGCGCGCAGAAACCGCCGCCAGGAAAAGAGCGGGTCGCAGGTGGCGGCGTGCCTGCGACATAGTCCCGGTGCCCGCAGCCGCACTTTAGGCCGGGCCGGAGACGCCCCGCCCCGCCTCGCCTCGCCTCGCCTCGCCCCCGCCGTTCGCCAATCAGCGCTGCCCAGGGAGTCCTCCAGGACCAATAAGAATCCGCAGGATGCCATACTTGTGAGGGGCAGGCGCCGGGGCTGGCCGGAGGGTTTCGCCCCTGTTTGTGAGGGGCACGCTTCCCAGGCTCCCTCTGCAAGCACTGAGAATCTCCAGGACCCGGCCACACCCCCAAAACAGTCCAAGTCTGCAATCCTCAGCCTGGTGCTCTGCCAGAACCAGCTATGAGTCCGGATGGAAGACGGAGCTAGCTTACACTTGTGTGGAGGTCATTGAATTCAAGCCCCAAAATGTCGCAGTTTAAAGCAGAGACCGCAGGCTGCAGGTATTTGGCCCCTGCACTCCTGAATCTGACAGCCCGATTGCGAGGCAATAGACCAAACCCCAAGCTCCTACGCTATTGGGGCCCCTACCGTCCCTGGGCAGCCTGGGAAGGCGTCCTGGAAGAAGCGGCATCCTGGCAGAGGCCTGGGGATGAGGCCGAGTCCGCGAGGTAGCGGAGCTGGTCGGGGGAGAGGTTTCCAGGCGTAGGGAGGGAACGCCGTGTTGAAAAGCAAAGGACTGAAGAGGGAAGGGGAGCGGCCGGAGGAGGGCAGGGGTGGGGTGGGAACTAGCCCGAGGGAACTGCATTTCCACTGGGTCGGGCCTGGTGGCTCCGGAATGCCAGATCCAGCAGGATCTTGTAGCCCAAGGAATTTGGATTGAAATTGGACAATAAAATGGTTTTAAAGAAAGATGACAAGATCAGGTTTGCACTTTGGAAGATTTGTGTGGAGAGTGGGTTGGAGAGCCACCCGGGGCGGGGACAGTAATCTGTCCTAGCTGTGGGTGAGGCGGATTTGTCCTGGACTTTTCAGAACTTTTTCCTGTCTACGACCTTCTTGGCCCCAACTGCTACCGTGGAAAAAGTAGCACGGAGATTCTCTTTTTATAGCTGAAAGGTCCCAGAAAGGTGTGTGGGTTTTGTTTTGTCTTGTTTTGGTTTTTTGGAGGTGGGGGATGGGGCCCTCTAGGGAAGTTCCCACAGACCAAAGACAATTTTAAACAACTGAAGGGATTTCAGCACCTCCCTCCCTCTTTCCTGCAGGCATTGGGGCTAAATATTTATCAGAGATTGTTTGATTTTGAAATAAACAAATAACTTGTTGGGAAGATTCTGCCATTGGCTGGACTTCTGCTTTTCACATCACTGCTGGGCGCCCCCTCCCTGGCTGGCCTCATGGGAAATAAAGAGGTGCTTTCCTTTCTTGGTCTTCTTCTCCTCTTCCTCTTCCTCCTCCTCCTTCTTCCTTTTCTTCTTCTTCATCAATGAAATGTTCTCTACGCTTATACATGTATATAATTTAACAACTGCATACAAACAATCATAAAGGAGCTTTAAATGTTTCTCCTTTGGGGCCCCTGGCTGGCTTAGTCTGTAGTGCGCGCAACTCTTGATCTTGGGGTTGCAAGTTTGAATCCCATGTTGGGTGTAGAGATTACTTTAAAAAAATCTTGGGGCGCCCGGGTGGCTCAACCTGTTGAGCCTCCGACTTTGGCTCAGGTCAGGATCTCACAATTCGTGGGTTTGAGCCCTACATCAGGCTGTGTGCTGGCAGCATGAAGCCTGCTTGGGATTCTCTCTCTCCTTCTCCCTCTGCCCCTCACCTGCTCACGTTCGCTCCTCTCAAAATAAATAAATAAACTTTAAAAAAAAAAAAAAAACTTTTCCTGTTTTTATTTGATTTTTAAGTCCTAGGATTTTTTGGATGGATGCTACATCATCATATCACTCAAATAGTCAGGAGTACAAAAACTGTACGGTGAAAAGCTTCCCTCTCATGCCAGGTCTCCACATCCTAATTACCCTCTCCAAAAGCAACTAGTTAGGTTTCCTGTGATCTCTCCAGAGATCGGTTATACATTTGCAAGCAAATACAAATACAGATTTCCTATTTTATACTTGCAGAGAGCAGACTGTATACACAACTCTGCGTGGTACGTTTTCCACATGCCTTTACAGCCTGGGCCTTATTTTGGACGGTGTCAGTACAGAAGAGTTGCCCCACTGGCTAATTTGTTTTTCTTGAAGCTGCCGCAGCACTTCTTGGTGTGCAAGCAAGTACTACTGTGGATTTGGCCCCGTCTCCTACTGATGGACGTTTAGGTTTCTAATATTTTGCCATCACAAGCAATGTTGCAATGGGTAACATTTTACCCTCATCATTTCTTCCATGTGTGAGCACATCTGACGGATGAATTCCAAGAAGCGCAATGCAATCGCTGGGTCAAAGGTGATTGGCAACTGACACTACACACATTGCCACATTGTCTTCCAAAGGGGCGGGATTCATTTCTACCCCGGGGGCCCCCACAGGGCGTGAGCCAGCCATTTCCTCACCAACACAGACCTTAGCCAACTTTGATCCGCGCCAACTGCATAGGTGGAAAAATGGATTCTCAAGCTAGTTGTTATTTGCATTTATTTCATTTGGAGGATGCTGAGCACTTTTTCTTATAATTAAAAACCATTTGTATGTAGGGGCTGCTAACCTCCTTTGTATCATTGCTTTTTATTTTCAAAGTCACAGATGTGCACAGAAGGAAACAGAAATGTGTCAAGGAGAAAATCAAAGGCATCTTCATCATACACCTGGAGAACAAATGTTGGCCTTTTGGTGCCAGCATGAAAACGTTCTTGCTCTCCAGAAAGAACAATAGAAACAAAGCCATTGTCTGGCCAGAAAAGGGTGGGGGGGGGAAGGCGTAAGGAAATTGGCAAGTGGGTGGGTGTCCACCCACTGGAGGCAGATTTGCAGGTGTGTGGGGTGGGGAGCAAGGGCAGAGGGATTCTGCTTTAACCCCTACCCTCCCAAAGGGAAAGGATGTCATTCATTCATTCATTCATTCACTCATTCATCTCTGTGCCAAACCCTGGGCTTGGTGCTGGAGACGCTGGGTTCAGGGGACAGATGACAGTCCTGTTTGCAGAGCACCCTGTCCAAGGTGAGAAGACAGTAAAGAAGGAAACTCACAAAGGAAGATACGTATTTGCAAACCCTGATAACCCTGATCAGAGCCAAGCTCACTGCTGTAAGGGGCAGGAGACTGAGGCCCAGAGAGGGACAGAGATAGCTTGGGGTCACACAGTAGGTCAGCAAAGGCCCCATGCTGGGCCCCAGGATGGACCTTCTAAACTCAGATCTGCCTGAGTCACTGTCCCCTCTCTTGGCCCATCATGCCCTCAAGATTAACGAAGCCCATAAAATCACTGTAGCCCGGCCTCTGCCCACCTCCCGCCTCTTCCATCATCGCCGAGTACCATCCCTGCAGCTGGCAAGGATTTTAGGAATTGGCCTTGGTGTTTTCCACCTCCAAGCTTTTGCTCACATTTACCTTTGCCTGAAATACCTTTCCCCGAAATACCTTTCCCCTACACCTTTCTCCTTTGCTTTTTTTTTTTTTTCAAGTTTTTATTTATTTTGAGAGACAGAGCACAAGCAGGGGAAAGGCAGAGAGAGAGGAAGAATCCCAAGCAGGATCTGTGCCGTGAGCGCAGAGCCCAATGCGGGGCTCAAACTCACCACTGTGAGATGACCTGAGCCAAGACTAAGAGTCAGATGCTCAACTGACTGAGCCACCCAGGTGCCCCTCTCCTTTGCTTTCTTTGGGACAGAGAGAGACATAGCATGAACGGGGGAGGGGCAGAGAGAGAGGGAGACACAGAATCGGAAACAGGCTCCAGGCTCTGAGCTATCAGCCCAGAGCCCGACGCGGGGCTCGAACTCACGGACCGCGAGATCATGACCTGGCTGAAGTCGGACGCTTAACCGACTGCGCCACCCAGGCGCCCCTAGCTAACGTTTATGAAACACCCCTGTACTTGACATTGCAATCTCTTTTCATGCTCTTGAGAATTGTGTGAATTAGAGATTGGTCCCATTTTACAGGTGGAGAAATGGAGGCTCACCTGTCTGGTGACCCTGGCTTCCTGTTGTCAATGCACTGTGTGGCCCTGGGCAGTTTGCTCCTCCTCTCTGATCCTGTCTGACTCTTGTCCCCTCCTTAGTAGGGTGAGAGCTGAAGCGAGCTGTGTCCCAGCCTGTAATTTCTGGGGAAATCTATGGGTGGGTGTTTCAATGAGGACAAGAGTCTCCAAAGGCCACCATACTCCCGAGAGCCTAGACTAGAGGGATCCAGCTGTCCCTTCCGAGGGACCAAGGGAGATTCAAGCTCATTGGCAGGTTTGTGCAGAAGCCTGATAGCCACTCTGGGGTCTGACCCTCAGATAAACATAAGAACTCTTCCACCTCTGAATATCTATTTACATCCTGTGACCTACAAGAAAACACTTTCCTGCAATTTTGGGGGGGTGGGGGAGAAAACTTGCCTTAGACAGAATTCCATATCCTCAGGGGTTTGGCCATGCCAAATCCCCAGCCTGACTCTGGCTACTAAGGTGTTTGCGACTTCGGTTTATTGGGAGGGCACCTGGGCCTTAAAAATAGGCCTCCCTTCGATCCCACAATTCCACTTCTAAAAATGACCTTGTGGCAACAACTGGAACTGCGTCCAGAGCCCCACGTGCCATGTTGATCGCCCTCCATCCTGGGTGGCAGGTTACGAGGCGATGAGGCCCTTCTTCCCGAAACCCTGTGCTCTCTGGGCCTCCCTGACACCTCCCTCCCTGGTTCGGCGTCTTCCTTCTTGCTGGCTGCACCCTCCCCCTTCGGCATCTTCATGTTGGAGGACCCGGGGCTCAGGCTTCTCTCTCCAGGGTCCCAGGTCTGGGATGATGTCTGACTGTCAAATGTCCCTCTTCATTGAGCTGCAGACACGAGCGGCCTCCTGACGTCTCCCCCAGGCTGGACCACGGGTGTCTTAAGCCGGTCCCGTCCCTAACACTTGTTCCCTTGTTTCCTCCCTGAAAGCAGCTGGAGCTTCCCAGCCTGGGACATAGCTTCACCATCCAGCCAGCGGCTCTCACCGTGGGTTTCCCTCTCCCTCTCCCTCACCCCCAAACCCCAGCCATCCACACACCTATCCTCTCTACCCTACGGCCTCCCCAGCGGCCACTGCCTCCCCTCCAGGCCACCACCGCTGGTCTGCCCCATAGTCTCGATGCTGCTCGCTTGACCCCTACAAGCATTCCCTGTCATTTTTTTTTTTTTTTTTTTTGAGAGAGAGAGGTGGGGGGTGCCCCAAGCAGGCTCTGCACTGTCGGCATGGAGCCCGACACAGGGCTCGAATTCACAAACCATGAGATCATCACGACCTGAGCTGAAATCGAGAGTCAGATGCTTCACCGACTGAGCCGCCCAGGAGCCCTGCATCCTGTCATTTTTAAAGAAAATCAGGGGCACCTGGGTGGCTCAGTCGGTTGAGCATCCGACTTCGGCTCAGGTCATGATCTCGCGGTCTGTGAGTTCGAGCCCCGCATCGGGCTCTGTGCTGACAGCTCGGAACCTGGAGCCTTGCTTCCGATTCTGTGTCTCCCTCTCTCTCTGCCCCTCCCCCCGCTCATGCTCTGTCTCTCTGTCTCTCTCTCTCTGTCAAAAATAAACAAACACTAAAAAAAACGAAGAAGAAAGAAAATCAGATCTTGTCTCTCTTCTGCTTAAACCCATCCAGTGGCTTCCCATTGCATTTAGGATGAAATCCAAGCTTTTGAACTACCCATCTCTTACGATCACTTGCAGCCCCCAGCCCTGCTGGCCTTCTCTGTGGTCCTCAGATACACCAGGCTCACACCCACCTCTGCAAAGGTCCATGTCCAGTGAGCCCTTAGCGTTAAAGGTATTCCTGTGACCCTTACAACAGCTTTTCGAGCACTGTGATGATTCTCATTATACAGATGGGAAACTGAGGCACAGACTGGTTACTCAGCCAGCCGAAGGTCACACAGAAAATGCAGGACAAAGCCTCAGGGCCTTTGCACTGGTGGTTCCCTCTGCCTAGAACGTTCTTCCTCCAAAAGTTCCCACAACCCACTCTCCATCATCCCAGGTTTCTGCTCAAATGTCACCTTCTTGACGCATTCTGCTCGCCATCTGTCCAGCAGTTGGGGACACTGAGGCCCAGTAAGGGGCCAGAACTGACCTGGGACCGGGCATGGCTTTACGGATGTTCTTGAGATATTCCTGGGGTCCCCACTCGTGGCCAAGAGGGGCCTTCCGAGAGCACCAGGTGTGTGCTGTGAGGCCATGAGGTGTGCCAGGCCACAGAGAGACTGGTTTCAGTCTGGCCTCCTCCCCAGGGGCCTGGGTGCTCTTTGAGCTGGCTGAGGCCTTCCCTGCTCAGACCTGACAGCAGCTGTTTTAGCGATTTTCAGAGTGGGAAAAAGTGTGTGGAATTTTTTTTTTTTTTCAACTGGTTATCTCTGCAACCGCGATTGTCTTCAGCACCTGCTCCCCGGGGTGTGAGATTTATGACTCTCCTCCTTGGCGGGTGCTGTGCCGAGCCCATTTGACAGGTGAGGAACTGAGGACCGGAAGTGCAGAATCACTTGCGAAACTCACCAGCTGGCAAGTAGCGCAGCAAGGATTCAGCCCAGTCCCAGCGCCATTTGATTCCAGCTGCTGCTGATTTATTTTTTAATTTTATTATTTTTTGAAATTTAAAGTAATCTCTACACCCCACGTGGGGCTCAAACTCACCATCCCGAGATCAAGAGTTGCTGAGCCAACCAGGCACCCCCAGAGGCTACTGCTTAGACTCTCTGATCAAGCTTGGGAATCCTGGCTTTTTCTTTTTTTTTTTTTTTAACTTTAAGTAAACTCTACATGGGACTCAAACTCATGACTCTGAGATCAAGAGTCGCATGCTCTCCTGACCGAGCCAGCCAGGAGCTCCTGTGACTTGATTTCCTTAAATAATAGTTAACATGAACTCTTTCTAGACATCAGCACTGTGCAGAGATCTTTATGCATGGACCCATTTCTCAGGGGAGGCAACAAAGGGCTAATAGGGAAAGTAGCTTAGTCATTCACAGGGGTCTGTAATGCCAGGCCCCAGATCCAGCCCTAGGCCACCCCTGGACCCTGCCCCCCACCTGCCCTGTGTTCTGTGAGGTGACCTGGTCATTTGATTAATGGGGCTCTAGCCTTGAGCAGACTCTTACTTTAGAAGGAGGCCCTACTGCCTCGAGATGCCGTGTGAAATGTCAATACCCCACAGCCCCGGGGAGCTGCCCTCAGTTCACTCTCCCCACCCACACCATGTGACCCTGGGCAAGTCATGTCTCCTCCCTAGGGTCCTTGGCCTTTAAGGGAAGGGGGCCTAGATGACCTCTCAGGAGCTACTGCTCTCAAACCCTGGCATCTGGGGCCGCCCCTCCTCTGCTGCTGGGCAGGAGGTTCCATCGGTCGGGAGGGTCTGGGTAAGAGTGGCCTGGCCTGGTGTGCAGCCCCAGGGGACGCTGACTGATGGCAGCCCTGGCCGTTCTGGCCTGGAATTCAGACTCCCATCCTGAGAGGCTGGGACATCCTGGCTTGCTATGTGCCCATTCAGCAGAGGAGGAAACTGAGGTTTGATGAGGCCAGGCAACTTGTCTAGTGCCCGTCAGGACATGAAATTTGATCTCCCTTGGACTTCTGAAGCCCTAGCCAGGGTTCTCCGGGGCAGGGCTGGAAGGTGGGGGCTGTCCTGGGCCAGTCTCCTCCCTTCTCGGAACCCCATTTTCTCATCTGTAAAATGGGTGTCATACCTCAGAGGGCTGGGATAAGGGACAGTGAGGGGGTGCTGGGCTGGGAGCACAGAGCAAGTGCTCCACATGGGAACAGAGGTTAGAAATCTTTAACGGGCTAAGTCCTTAACTGCTCGGAACCACACCTTCCAGATCTAGAAAATGGAGACAACATGGGCAGAGAGCCCAGCAGATGGTAAGCACTGGATGAGCTGAGCGTTACCATTATTACTATCATTATTGCAGTGGACAACCCTTCCTTACAGAGCAGTCCTGAGGCGAATCAGGTGAAATCCTGTCATGGATCACATCCACAGTGCCCGGAGCACAGGAAGACCCTTGAGGGGCCTCTGCACCACCCATGGCCGCCGTCAGTTATGCTCTGGAGACCCTCCCCTCTTCCTCAAGTCTCCCGACGACCACAGTGGGCGGGGGCTTCTGTGGAGCCCCCAGCTGGGTTAAAAGGTGGAACTGAGGTCCACAGGGGGCCCCTGATCACCCCAAGCCTGTGGAACAAGGTTTATGGATAACAAGGTTTTCCCCTGAGGCTGTCTCTTGGGCCCCGAGAGATATTTACATACATTACACAAAAGAAAGAAATGGAAACTTAGAGAGGCAGGCCACTTGCCGGAGGTAAGCAAGCTCTCCTACCTGAAAGGAGGCAGTGTTAGCTGAGAAGAGACTCCCCGATGGGCCCGGCTGCTCCATTGGTTGCTTGCAAGCACGCCTTCTCAGCCACCGGTTAGGAGGCAGCCAGGGACCTGGTACCTTTCATCCCTGGGCTTCCCACACCCCATCGGGGCTGGACACAAAGTGACTCAAGGCTGGGGGCACTTCGGCCAAGCCTGCCCCGCCCGGGGTTCAGCTGGGCCACAGAAAGGAAGGGGAGTCGGGGGAGGGGGGGTTCCCTCTCCCCACCCCATGACCCGCGCCTCCCCGTGTGCAGGGAGGAAGGTCTTACCTGATAGGTGCCTGCTCTCATCCTGGGATCTGCCCGGGGAGGGAGCTCTCTGATGAATCTCCCTAGTTAAAGAACAACCTAGCAAAGGTTAAAGGTGAGTGGGCGCGGGGGGGGGGGGGGGGGGGTGTTGCTGAGGGAAGGGGGCACTTGGGAAACTTCCAGAACCTGGGCTGGGCTTCCTGCAGAGCAGAGCTGGCCTAATCTGGCCTCTTATCATCACAGCCCATCTCCCCTTACAGTTCAGGCCCTGCCAGGCTGGGATCCCCGCAGAGCAGGGGCAGGAAGCCCAGGCACCCTTGACCTGAGGAGTCAGAGCCTGCTGAGGGGGAGAGGCTGTGTTTCACCAAATCATCTGCTCAGAAAGGAGCCAGGACACGGACTGAGTTCCTGGCCTGCAGGGTGACACAGAGGGCCTGCCCAAAGTTGCTGGTGAAGGCCTTTCTCACGGATGCCACACGGCCTCTTCAACCACCTGTTTGTGTGGGCTGCCTCCCGGTGGTAGTTGAGACTCGCAGATGCCAGGCACTTCTCTAGGTGCCTCAGGGTAATGCTCCGTAACGCCCTGCCCTCAGGGAGCTTCTATGCCAGACCACGCATCTCCCTCCACAGACAGGAGGACGTGTCCAGCGCACCAGGCTTTGAGGCTGGTTAGTCCAGGCCTCCTCTCTGGGGTGTTCTGTGTTTGGGGAGCTCAGAGCCAGCAGCTGCAAGGCCTGCTTTTTTTTAAGATATGGTTTGACTGCGTGAGTAAAATTATTAATCAAGGAAATAGGAGAAAACAGAGAAACACGAGGAACAAAACCATCCAGAAAAACCCTAGGTAACGGTTTCGTGTGATTATTTTTCTTATACAATGATTTCAGGCAACAGATATTTTATAGCCTGCTCTTTCCAGCTGTTGTTTCTGGAACATCTTTCTGTCCCGGCGCGCATACGTCCAGTCCACATCCTTTTCCACAACTGCATAGCATTCCATCCAGGCCTGCGCATGCTGCCCGAATGCCAACCAGCAGTGTGGGCATCACCGGTCAGCCTGCTTAGAGGCGCCCACCCCGGCCTGGGAGTCACAGATCTGGACGTGTGTTGGAGGTGGAGAAGAGCTGCTCTAATTTTTGGAAGCCCAGGGAGGTTTTTCCCAGCTTTTCCCCCCACGGGGCTGCCCTGAACATCATGGATACACTGGGAGGAGGTAGCAGAGGACGGGTGAGGGGTGTAGCCTTTCAGGTTACAGACCTTGTGTGGCCGCTGTCCACTTGGCCATATGGCCCTCTGTCTACAGGACGAGAATCAACGTGTGTCGTCTCTATTGGGTCACTCCAGTGTCAGGGCTCTTAGACTATCCAAGACTAGTTGGACCCCTGATCCTTCTTAGTTGTTTTGTTGTTGTTGTTGTTGTTTGCTTTGTTTTTTTTTAGGAGAGCTCCAGCAGAGGGACAGAATCTTAACCAGGCTCCACGCTCAGCGCGATGACCATGAGACCTGAGCCAAAATCAAGAGTCAGACGCCCAACCGACTAAGCCACCCAGGTGCCCCCCAATCCTTCTTCAGTCAGTAGATCTCGTTCTC